TGGGCTCCAAGATCACTGCAGATGGGGACTGCAGCCAAGAAATTAAAAGACGCTTGCTCCTGGGAAGGAAAGCTATGGCAAATCTAGACAGCATACTAAAAAGCAGAGACATCACCCTGCCAACAAAAGTGCGTATAGTCAAGGCTATGGTTTTCCCAGTTGCAATGTATGGCTGTGAAAGCTGGACCATAAGGAAGGCTGAATGCCGAAGGATTGAGGCCTTTGAATGTTGGTGCTGGTGGAGACTCCTGTGAGTCCCTTGGACCGCAAGGCGATCAAACCAGTCAGTCCTAGAGGAGATCAACCCTGACTGCTCTTTTAATTTCCTGGCTGCAGTCCCCATCTGCGATGATCTTGGAGCCCAGGAAAATAAAATCTGTCACTACCTCCATTTCTTCCCCATCTATTTTCCAGGAAGTGTTAGGACTGGATGCCATGATCTTAGTTTTCTCAATGTTGGGTTTCAAGCCAACTTTTGCACTCTCCTCCTTCACCCGCATCAAGAGGCTCTTTAGTTCCCCTTCACTTTCTGCCATATCAGAAATCATCTGCATATTTGCATGTATAGTGAGGATCAAAGAGTACATCAGGGAGAAAGCACTAAGCAGGAAACAAAGCTGAGCAGCAAGCCAAAGGGAAGGACCAAGGGCCAACCTTCCAGGGCCTTTCTCTGCTTGCCACCTCCAAGGAAGGCTTGTTGGTGGCAACAAGGAGACGGGCCTTTTCGGAGGTGACCCCCAGTTATGGAACAAGTTCCCCACTGAGCCCAACCTGGCACCACGTTTACTATCTTTTTGGTGCCAGGTAAAGACTGTCCTCTAATGCAGGGGCCTCCTGGTTCTTACACAAGGTGTAACTGGGTATTTCAACATATACTTTTTTGTATTTTTGTTTTTTATTTGCTGTTATGCTTTGTAGTGCCACCACCACAGTCAGATCACTCAAAGAGTAACTCAGAGAGCTAACAAAAAGCCCCGGTGGGAAATATCCTCTCATGAGGATGAGAGCAAACCAAGCCAGGCTTCAAAGCCTTGTTGAGAGCTATTCCGTGAGCTCAAGCATCTCGAAGGACCAAACAACCTTGCACTGAGCGATCCAGGATGGACAATCCCTGGCTGCATCTTCAGGCAATCCAGCTGCCAAGCTATTGCTAGATGTATCATTCCATTAATGTCACCATGGGAACCGTCCGTAAGAGACAAAGAGAGGGACAGAGCTGTTTTATGTGTTCAGAACTCACCTAAAACCTTTTAAAGAGAAGGAGAAAGCAAAAAAAAAAAAAAAAAAGCAACTGCACTAAACTCCTACTTTACAATGGATTAAACCTTGTTGCTTTTCATGATCATTAATGAATGAAGAAGGCAGGTTTTTAATTGCTGCTGCTGTTGTTATTGTTGTTAGTCGTGAAGTCATGTCCAACCCATTGCGACCCCATGGACAACACTCCTCCAGGCCTTCCTGTCCTCCACCATCCCCCAGAGTCCACCCAAGCCCACCCCCACTGCCCCACTGACCCCATCCAGCCACCTCATCCTCTGCCGTCCCCTTCTCCTTTTGCCATCAATTGTTCCCAGCATCAGGCCTTCTCCAGGGAGTCCTTCCTTCTCATTAGGTGGCCAAAGTATTTGAGCTTCATCTTCAGTATCTGGCCTTCTAAAGAGCAGCCAGGGTTGATCTCCTCTAGGACTGACCATTTGATCACCTTGCGGTCCAAGGGACTCGCAGGAGTCTCCTCCAGCACCACAATTCACAATTGTACAATTGCTGTTGTACAAGAGCATAAAAATGCCTTCACTCTGAGTGGCAAGAGCGAAGGTTTCAGCACCCTGGACAGCGCCGCAGGGACCATCCCAGGTTACCGGTTCTTTATTTGCAGCATGCACACACCACTCCATAGATAAGCAGTTCCCACAGCAGGGAACAATAAAAGAAAAAGAACAAAATACCAGATTAAAAGGACGCCAGATTAAATTTTTGCTGCTCTGGCAACGCTCGGGAGTTGAAGTTTCAGATATGTGGAGATCTACTGTTTGCCAACCCTTGACTTAGAAGTCACAGCAACAAATTCCAGCCCTGGATCAGTCAGTGAATCTGCTGCACAAGGATCGCCAAGCAGGAATGCTAATCAAAGAGGTAGAAAATACGAGAACTTGTAACGCAGCACCCCCGAAACAGCTGCGATTTAATAGCAAGCTATTCTGAAAGCCCCAAATATTTAATAAGGTGGTTGAGATATTCTTATCTTTAAATAGCTAATCTGATTTTCTGGGACAGAAGCTAAGTTATGGGGCAGTCAACAAAGG